TATTAATTAAAAAAGTTTGAGGTTATTAGATTGTTCTCGCGTTTTCGTAAATCATAGGGGTTCTCGTTTGAACCTCCACCTATATATATATATATATATATATATATATATATATATATATAGGGAAGGGTTCAAAAAGAACTCCCTTGTTTTACGAAAATACGAGAACACTTCTAGGCCTTCAAATAAATTAACACATAATAAAAAAATAGAGTAACGAAAATAAATTAGTATTTATCCATAATTTTTTTATCCTAGATTTATCTTTTATCCCTTTACTTTTGTTATTATAGTTGGAGACTTTTTATGTTGTTGTGTCGGTTGTCGATAGACGATAATGATGTGATAATAATTTGATTTTGCCGTGATAATAATGTGATAATGATTTGATAAATTGAAGATTGTTTATCATGTGATTTTGATATGATAATCATCAAATAATTATGTGATTTTTGTTGTGATAACGATGTGATAATATTGTAAAAATCGAAAACCAACGATGATCATGTCTACATTAATCGACCTTTCTGTTTGTTATGTGATTTTGCTATGATAATTATTTGATATCGGTTAATGTATATTGTATATGATTTTAGAGATAAGGATGTCACCAAAATTACAGATAAATAGGAAATTAATCACATGATTATCCTTAATTAATTACTTTATTTTCTTTTAGTTTTAATTGTGAGCTAAATATTTGGAGGCCTATAAATGTTCTCACATTCTCGTAAAATAGAGTTCTTCTCGTTTGAACACACACACACACACACACATATATATATATATATGAATTGTATTTGAAAATCGGTCATCAATTTCTATGTATTTGATATCGTCAAACATGTTTATGTAAGAATTTTATAAAATTATATTTTGTTGTTGCATTTGCTTTTTATTGCGAAATCAACCAAAAAACAAAAAAAGTCCTTCGTAAAAGTGGAATTCGACCGAGAACAAACGAGCATAAGACGTAGTCTTGCATCTTGCTAAAACTTTAGGTCGAATATATTTCTAAAATGTATTGTATCAAACCAACACAATTAAATTTTCTTCTGATTAAACCGTGTTAACTTTCCCTTAGGTTAAATGATGACTTTGTTGACACTTGATAGAAAAATTCTTACATCTACCACTATATCCCATACAAATGCATGTGAATATTACTACTTAAATCATATACTCTTAAAACATTTTGATAACACTGACCACCTCTTTATTATTTTATAAACGATTTGATATCTAGTTGGCAAAGTGCATATACAATATTCCTGTCAAGTACACCTATTGCTCTCTTTATTAACGAAAAATACAAATATAAAACACTATTTAAAAATGTTAATAGTTCTACCAAATTATATAAATAAAAATATAGAAAATATTTCTCTCGTATTCGGGGTTATGTTAGAGGTTGTTCGCACCATATTCAGAGGTGGATGCGGATCCGAGAAAATATTTTTGTGGTTGTATCGTAGTATATAACCAAACAAAAGTGTAGCAACCTTAAGGGCCTTAGAACAAAATTATAGTATATCTGAATTTTTTTATGATTATCACGGGTAACCACTAGAACCCTCGTAAACCAGCCCATAACCTCATTTCTCTTGCGAATACCATAGGTTGCCAATTTTCATCTACTAACTTTAATGTTTATGCATGTCCACTTATTGTCGAAGTATTTCACGTATTTCTTGTTGAAGAATTTATTCGTCGTATATATCAATATAATAGAGTTAAGAGTCGAAGTTATTATTTAAGATTCAACAAATCTATTTTTCTGTGTTCAGAAACCACAATGTTCATTTAAATGTTAACGTAACGTTGTGTCCCAAACCAAAACAGGGGTGTCTTTCACATCAAATAAAAATGGTACAAAAAGTTACAACGGTACAAGCAAACATAGGGTGCTTTTCAAATCAAATAAGCATCTCAACAAAACACAATGAGTCCGAAACTTAACACACCCAAAATAAAGAAGATATGACATGATCAAAGAAACGATAATAATACACTTGAAAACGGAACGCTTTCTACGCACATTGGAAGCCAGAAGGGACGTCCTTTCCACAGTAGTTAACCAACAAGCTCAAGGATACCGGTACATTGAGTTTAATACCCAAGACATTAGCTTTAATGACGGTACAAAGGCAGACTGCTACCTCGAGGTCAACAAGGTTCTCAATGAGGGAACAGCAAGGTGTTTTTGGTGGGGCTCCTACAACAACGCCATGCACCAAGTCATTCAGCAAGTTGGCACACACACCCAACTTTAGAGCATCTCTAGGGCAAGTCGCCTTTGGTGAAGATGAGGTTGCACTTACCAAAGTGAAAAAGAGAAGGTTAAGAGTGAGGAGAAAAGCAGTTGTTCCCAAAGCACTAGTGGAAGCCATTTTTAATTAAGTGCTTTTGGGATATGAAGTGGTAATGAAGTAGCTAGCGTACTTAAAGGTTCAAGAAGTAGTAGCTAGTTTTGTGGTGTAGAATTGGTGAAATTGCCCGATGGTATTTATAGATAAGACGATGAATTATTTGATGGTTGTAGGTTTTTTTTCTTCTTATTAGTTCTTAATTAATTCCAAGAGGAATCAAGAAAATTATAGAGGCTTGATCACGGGGCATTAATTCTGGTTAATTATATATTGTATAAGATTTGAATTCATTTAGAAACAATAAGGGCTCACGGGACTTCATGATAATATTCCTCCTAAGAATGATCTGGTTCTATTTGGAAGCTTTAATTAATCTGTTCAACATCTGTGAGATGCTTCTTCTCTTTTATCCTCATCCTGTGAGTAATTCAGTGATATATATATATATATATGTATGTATGTATGTATGTATACGTATTACATATGTAAGTATATGTGGCAGAAAGCCCTTTTCTGTTTCCTCTATGTTCACCATCTTTAACTATATTCAAGTAACGGATGATTTGTGAGAAAAAGGTTAGGAATACATCCATCAAGTTACTCAAAGATCATGGCAGTTCTAATGTATTTTGATTCGTACTGTTCCTTTTGCTAGCGTCGTGAACAGTCAATATATTTAATGTATTTGATCAGGTGGGCTTTGGGTTTTTTGTTCTGATGTGTTCTTGGCATGTTTTCAGATTATTGCAATGACTTGGAGTATAGTACTGTTAACATGTTCTTACAGCACAAGAGAACAAATATAGCCAATGATTCAAAGCACGAGGGAACATGTGAAACTTGATTTATGTAAGCAACCAATTTCGTTAGTACAGACGCCTTAAGCGTCTTAATAACATATTTTGTAGAACTTAAGTTTATAGGACTAAATTATAAAATGTGCTATCTAAAAGCGTCATAATAGGTTTATAGGACTCTTATATAGGACGTTTTTTAAAATAAAATGTTTTATTAACTATCTTTTATAGGACACATTTGAGAAATGTCCTGTAAACCTATATTTTTTTATAGGACACATTTTTAAACACTGTCATTTAAAATAACTAATACAACACTTTAATTTAAAAACGTTATAAAAAACTTGTTACAACGCTTAAAAACATTCTATTAACATATTTTAACACTTTTAGATATGATGCTTTTTGGTTTGGTCCTATAAAATATTTTATTAGGAGACCTAGACATTTTAGGCGTTCTATAAAATCAATTTTCTTAGATGCAAGGTCGTAATAAATATTCTCTTAACGGGTGACTCGATGAGAACATATGTTTCAGAGTATATTGAAAAAAATATTGACATACGGAATTTAATCAATTACAATGATATATCACAAGTCCCGTAGATATATATAACAACATGCTTGTTGGAGGATTCTGAGAGTACATACGTAAAATATGAGTAAATTAATATCTTGGATAAAAAACCAAGATCGCATGACATTCTTTAAATTATATTTCGACCCAAATTAATCTGCCATGGTATCATGAAAACAACTCGAGGATAATCTCAATTGTAATGATTTTGGTATAAATCGTTACTTTTTAAATTTAGTAAATCATAACTACTCTTATAATAAATGCAAGAATAACTCCTAACTCATCAATAGATGGAAATAATTGCTGGAGTAATTAACGGATGATTAGTTCATAGCAGTTATAAACACAACAGTTACAAACTGCTTACATAAATCCGAATCTCTTTAGTCAGAAGCCTCTGAGGTAGAAACACTTTAGAGTTGGAACCTTTTGTTTTGAACAAGACTAAGAGGTTTATGAAGAGAATTCAAAAGTTTCTGAAGGGAACTCAGAGGCTTCTGAATTTCACATATATTCAGGAGCTTATTTTCCCAAAGCACTTCAGAAATCATTGCCCCTTGGACCCTGTAAGGGGGTGCAACCCCCTTGACCTGCACCATATGACACCATTTAATAATCTTGGGTTCTAGTTTGCTTACATAAATATGCATTCCACACCTTCTAGCCCGTGTTATATGTTAACTAACAACCCCATATTCTCTTGTGAATCCATTTACATAAAATGAACCGATGATTACACTAAAGACACCAACAATGCTCACCAACATCGATCACCACAACTTTAGAGTATTTCATTAATTCAAAGTATCAACCAAGCACCAATATCATTCGTGTCCAAATGAGGTATGAATGTAGGGTGATGTTTTATACTTTAGTGCTCAATCTGTTAACGATTATAACTGTCATACAGTTATGTTTACCCACTCATAATTATCGATCTCTCATATAAATATGTGATCGAGAATCTAGGTATATATAAGAACTCGATCTCACAGCCTTTGAGAAGAGAGTTTTTCCTTGGATTATCACAACACAAAATTCGTGCTACCCAAGGCATTAAGGGACAAACTACTGTATTGGAGAAAGGGCCCATGTTTCTCTTGTATATGTAACTCACTCAGAAGCTAAGAGCGGTAAGACGAGTTTGAGAAAATAGAAAGAACACTAATATTTTGTAAAGAGGGAAAAAGGAGGTCGTTTCTTAACCTAATACAAAAAGGCTCTCTCTTCTAGTGTGAATGTAGGCAGTCTTACTAAACCACGTAAATCTCTATTGCATTGTCTCTACTCTTTATTACTTTGATTGCTTGTTATCGTCATTACTGTTTTCGGTTTGAGTAAGATTGAGAAATTGGGCTGTTTGGTTTCGGTTTCCTCTACTCTGTTTTTCCGCTGAACAACATACACCTATTGCTCTATTTATAACATCAAATAAATAAATAAATAAATTATAAAACGCTGTTTAAAAATATTAATAGTTCTACCCAATTATATAAATACAAGTATTAATTAGAAAATATTTCTCTCGCAAAAATATAACATATTTGGGGTATATGAGAGGTTGTTGGCACCACATTTTCTCTTGTGAATGTTTGCCAATTTTGGCATAATAACTCTAGTTTGTATGCATGTCCACTTATTGCCCAAGTACTGTCACGTATTTCTTGTTGAGGAATTTCTATAATTCGTCTTACATATATATAGATTTATGAATAAAAGTTGTTACTTAAGATTCAACAAATCTATCTGTCTGTGTTCAAAAAAACCATCATAGAATACTTAAATGATAACATAACAATGACATCATACACAAAACAATAACAGGGGTGCCTTTCACATCAAATAAAATGGTACACTACTGGTAACCTTGATCTCTGTCCTCTGCAGCTGAATTTGCGAGTGAACTAAATTGTTTTGAGGGATATCTATTACCCTATTCGATTATGTGAACTGTTGAAAACAAGTGATGGCAGTTAAATTACTATTCTAGATTGAAGTTAAAACCATCCAAAAGTCACAGACCTTCCAAGATGAAGAACCGGCCTTAATTTGTATTCTCTCTCAAAATTGGTTGCGAATTCATGTCCCTAACTAAACGCTCTTGGACTTGTTTCTTAAAACCACTTGTATTCCCTGACATTATATTCATGATTATGTTCTAAACTCAACCTTCGGCTTGCACATATGATTCCTTGGTCCTTCCTCATCCACATATATATCTATACTATATTATAAAGCATTTGGCTAAAACTCTTAAAAACTCTTAAACTCTTAAAACTCTTAAACTCTTAAAAACTCTTAAAACTCTTAAACTCTTAAAAACTCTTAAACCCGTTCATCCCTATCCGATTTCATCTCATATCTGAATTCGTGTAACTAACTGCAGATAAACACAATCAAATACAGGATAAACATCTTATTTTAAATATAAAAAAT